CGTGTATTTGCAGTATTGAAGGATTGATCAATAATACTGAACAAATTAAAAATATTTGATTTTTATTGACGCACTGAGATCTTCAAATGTGTAACCAGTGGCTAAGTTACGCAGAAGAGTCAAAGAAAGTCTTTGGCTGGCTGAAATCAATTCTGGCATTATTGTATTTTGTTTTTTGACTCGGAATTCAGATAACAGATTTTCACAGTTATACTTATTTCGCTTTTGCAACCTCTCATTAGTCCAAAACCTCTGCTTTCGTTTTTTCTTCCTTTTATCAAAAAAAGAAATTGTCTTAATAGTTTACGAATTTTAATTTGTAAGTAAAAATGTTTTTATTAAATATATGCTAGATATCTACCTTGTATTTACAAATTATGTTGTTACTTAATTCATTAATCATATTTATAAATATATGAACTAGGTAATACAATGAATTGTAAAGTTAAGAGAAAATATATATTATAATTACAAAATGAGGTGGGAATGGTAATTTGATAAAAATGTAAGTAAATATACGATAGCAAGCAGTTTTTTAAGTTACCTATCCATTTGTGGTGTACAGTGGCGTATTTTGATTTTTTTTTTTGAGGGGTGTCCTGACTCCTGGCAATACTTTATCTCAACAAATATTAACATAGTTTCATCACGAATTCATACCTGATTATAATACATCTTAATACCTTACATAAATGGTAATTTTTTAGTAAAAAATCTTAGGATATCTACTTAAATTTTTAATTATTGAGCAAAAAATATAATCGTTGTAGGTACTTCGAGTGTACTGTACACTGTACACAGTATATACTTTATATCGTCGGCCTTTGCTATAGTAGTTAGTTGACAAAAACTTGTATTCGAAGAAAGATAATAAGGCGATAACCAATAATACGGCTCACCTGACATCACGAAACGATAATACAATTCTAAGAATTACGTAGTTCACGGTTTACTGCGAAAGTTCAAATAATATTTTGCTAATGAATAGTACTTATTTTCTGGTATAAGATGAAATATACATTATTCAATTTTCAAAGAATTTTTAAAATATTTCGTCATTCGTCAACAATATTTTGCAATACTTCAGTAATAAATAGAACTACAAAAAAATTGGGGGGGGTTTAATCCCCAGGACACCACCCCTAAATACGCCACTGGTGGTGTATAAAACTTTTGCCTCCTTTTTTGAAAACTGAAATCCATGCCTTAATAAAATAAAATCTTATATGCACTTTCTTCAGGGACGTATTTAAGGGGAATTGAGTGGGTATGATTGCCCCGTGTGGTAAATTCTTTTGGAATTATAATCTATCATTCGTTTTCATTCGTCAATCAAATTTTTTTAATATTTTAAAATTTTACATAGTGACCACACTTTGATTTTTATTTACATATTATTATCAAATGCTGACCGCATAAAATTCATAGATAATAAATATTATCTTTATTGAAAAATTATATAAAACGTGTGTTGAATTGGCAATAAAACTTCACCTGGAGCGTCAAAACTCTAAAACTCTGATTTTCATCATTACTCTAGTATTTATTTTTATACTATCGATAGATAAATTAAACCGAGATGCCTGAAGGCCTAAAATCTCAATTTAACTTTCTTTTAACATTCTAGGTCTTAGGTTCGGCATTTTCTATGGAGCACTAATGCCCATATTTTTTTAATGTACAAAAAACTTTCTCTTGTTCTCTCTACTCTATATACCATATTTGAAAGTTTACATTTGATAGATAACATTTATCTCGTTTAAATAAAACATGAATTAGTTGCTAATATTAAATACACTCATCTATTTACAACAAATAAATGTAATCATCTATCCATTTTACTATGTAAATAATTAAAAATGACTTTATAGTTAACGAAATTATTATTATTATCGTTACTTCGCAAAAAGTTGACTGTCATTATAATAAATATATTGCCGTTTAATAATTTCATGGAATGCAAAATCAGACAGTTTACTCCATGATATATTATTATATTCTCCATGTCGTATCAAACCAAAACAAAATTGTCAAAAAAATTGTTGATCCGAAATTCCACTTGTTTTGTTTTTTTTTTTTTATTAATTTTTCAAATTTTTGAGTTTATCGTGTATTCAAAATTAATTTTGTACTCTTTATTTGTTTATCAAGATTTATGGATGTTTTTTTAATTGCGGCCATTCTATGATCTGTGTCTTTAATCTGTTGACTAAAAATTAATCAAATGATAAACAGTTAAATATAATAATATTGTTATTAAAGGTAAACTATTATGTACTTTTAAATTATTTTATTAATGATTTGAGTTAAATTAGATGGTAAATAATTTAATATTATGAATGTAAAAATTCTTATCATGTGAACCGTAAAACATATTCATGATAACCTGGTAAGTTAAATTGTATTACATGAATATTGTAGCTGTACCTAGTTCTTCAACTTACATTGATATGATATTTTGTATAGGTTTACCATAAAAAAATCTCAATGAACAACAAAGAAATAAATTCCTGACAAATACAGTACAAGGTAAAAATAAATATTGATTTTATATCTTATCACTAATTTATGAATAATTAAAATATTACAAAAATAACATTCATTGTCGTCAATAGACATGATCTTAATTTATTTTCTTTTTTTTTTGTGTACAAGCGATAGTTATAATTAGGTTTTTAATATAAATTGATACTATGTTATTTTATAGAGTATTTTTGAATTGGTATAGTTACTTATATTTACTCTGTACTATGTGCTAATGCTATAATGTTTTTTTTTTAATAAATTTATAATAATGACTAATAAATTATATAATTAAACAAAAAGTTAGGTTATCATTAAAATCATATTTAAATATTACAAAGATTATACATATGAAAATATTAAGAACCAAGTACCTATTAATTGTAATCATGTCAAATGATTATATACTTTTATTTATAATTACTATAGGTATTAGTTATAAACTCATTACTGTCATTTATAATATAAAACAATTGATATAATGAAGAATTATAGGACAGAAAAAAATCTTAGTTATTCAATTAAACACTTGTCAACACTTTGTATTTTCATTATACATCATCTTACTATTATGTATTATGCTATTTTAAGCAGTTATATACATTTATCTATAGTATTTTTAACAAAATTGTGTATGATTTTATTTAGGTAATAGCTGTATGAGTAACAATAAGGACGAGGCAGTTACTACCATTATGTATGATCCAGGAATTCGACAGGATCAAAATCCAGTAACTGGTCAGTTGTATGCTACAATTGTCAAAAAAGATGATAAAGCATCTTCAGTCGATTTTCCATTTTACAATGTTAATATGGTACAGAAAGTTCCTGTATCGGGTAATATAGCTGTTCTTGCTGCAGCTTCTGCAAATGGAGTAACTCAAACAGATAAGACTTCTTACCGATTTGATGTAACTGCACCTTTTAATTACAATTATGCATTAGTAAATCAAATGTCTCTATCATCGGCTGGTGCAGCATTTAAATGTGATGTTTGTGGTGCTGGATTTGCACATGCAACAATGCTTGATCATCATAAAAAGTCAGCTCATCCACAAGAACCACCATCATTTACATGTTCTACTTGTGGTTCTTGTTTTCCTCAAGTAAGAGATATGAAAGTTCACCGATCTACTGTGCATAAGCAATGCTTTTCTTGCGGTGCTGATGTTGCTTCACAGACCGTAAAAGGTAAGAAGTCTAGATTTATTAAATGTGTAAGCTGTAGTGGTGGAAATTGTTCTAACTATACACCTCAAGAAAATGAAATGGAACCTAGTGATCATAATTTATCACCTGAGCAAACTGCTATTATGAAGGGTTATTATCCAGTTAAAAAAAGAGGTATGGCAACAGTTACAAAATGTTATAAATGTAATGGTTCTGGTATTATTTTTTTAGTAAATGGCAATCATGCTAATGTAAATATGAAAAATGATTCTATTAATCATTCGAATACTCCTAATAAACCTTTTCATTGTAACATATGTGGAGGAAGTTTTTCACGTTACTCATCATTATGGAGTCATAAACGTCTACATACTGGTGATAAACCATATAAATGTGATATATGTGGTTTGTCATTTGCAAAAGCAGCTTATTTAAAAAATCATGGCCGAGTACATACTGGGGAAAAACCATTTAAATGTGGTGTTTGTGGAATGCAATTTTCTCAATCTCCTCATCTAAAAAATCATGAACGCATACATAGTGGAGAACGGCCTTATCAATGTGAAGTATGCGATAAAACATTTGCTCGACATTCTACTTTATGGAACCATCGACGTATTCATACAGGAGAAAAACCTTATCGTTGTGATACATGTGGGTCAGCATTTAATCAAGCTACACATTTGAAAAACCATGCTAAAGTACATACTGGTGAAAAACCTCATCGCTGTGATATTTGTGGAGTTGGTTTTAGTGATCGATTTGCGCTAAAGCGGCATAGAAATATTCATGAGAAGTATGCTAGACAGCAAAGTGATGCAGCTGCTGCACAAACTGTTACACCTCCATCTCAAGAATTAGAGTCCATAAGTGGACAAACTCAAATAGAGGAATGTATATATAGTGCTGATTACGTAGAAAAGTATGACTCAGCTAATAATATTCCTACTGACATTGTAGAAGTTAAAGTTGATCAACAAAATCAAAGAGAACATGATGCTCAGCAACAACAAATTGATGATTGTATTTATAAATAATGGTAAGTATTACCTTTTCATGGTTCAGTTAAATATTTTATGTATTTTCTTAAATTTAAACCTAACTGAATTATCAGTAAATGTCCCATATTAAAACCATTTTTCCAAATCTTTATATAAAATCCATTAAATTAAATAAAATGTATTGAAAAACACTATTATATAAATCTAAGCATAAATTGATATAAAATAAATAACTATTAAATGTTTTATATAATTGTTATTTATATAAAAAACAATTGTAATAAATATCATCCTTAATATCAAGATTGGAAAAAAATTGTTATTTGTTAAATCGATAAATATTCAACATAAATAATTAAAAAAAAGACAAAACTCTTAGATCAAAAGGACTTTTTTCTTTATTAGTAATACATATGTATGAGAAACATTTTATTACATTTTCATAAGTATTTTCAAATCAAAATGAATTTATCAGCATTTTAAAAATGAAGCTGAGAAAATATGAATATTTCAATTTTCTATCAATGGCTCAAAAAAAATCTTATAATAATTATATCATGGATAATAAACTGTGAAATAATTATATCAATGTTCGTTGTAAATTCAGTGAAAATTTAATGTGTCGACAATTATTATTTTTTGAATTATTAGAAAAACAAAAATTTGATTTTGTTGAAAAAAGTTATGCTTTAATTGTTGTCTTTTTATAATTTGTTGTTAGTTTTTCTCAATTATTAAGAAAACTATTGTAAAATTTGTTATATTATCTCCTTCAAAGTTTCAAATAGAAAATATTTCCCATCAGAAATCTCTTATGATGAGGATGATCGGATCAATTACATTGATTGAAATTTTGTACAAGCACAAATAAAACACATGATTATTCAATTTTTTCACTCAGAATCTAAAATACAGCCCAAATCTTCTTTTATTATATTTGCATTCCAATGTTGAGGCATAAGACATAGTATTAATATCTGATTATCAATAATTAATTTTATCAAAATAAATATTTGAAACTCTTGTTAAATAATAAATGTCATCATTTCTCAGAATTAATAATTATTTATATAAGATACAGTAAAATTATTTAAATTTTAAGGCATTTAAATAAGTTAACAAGTGAACTACTCTAATCTATTAATTTACAATTATTTATAATAACACTGTTGTTTAAAATAATAAAATGGCTTTGAATAATTTACAGTTAAATCTTTTAATATTTTTATAATTTAGGTATTTTTCTTGTGTATAATTTGTTACATAATGTTAAATTTATGAATTTAAAAATGTTTATTCAAATTTTAGTATGATACAAGTTCATTGAATGAAGAATCTTATAGCAATAAGAAAATCAGATAAAAATATGATCATATTTATGGGTTCAAGTATTATTATCATGAAACTCGAAGAACATTTTAGAATCCAGGAATGATAAAATAATATACGGTGCTATAGATAGTTGTATTAAATATTAATTTATAAGGTTTGAAGATAATTTAAAAAAACAAGCTAATTTTATGAATATAATTGTAAAATGTGTTGTAATTTTTAACTGATAATTATTTTATTATTTTTCATGTATATTCATGAGCGTACTATTTTAAATATATTATATTTACCCATGAAAAAGGTTAGGTTAGGTTATGATTTTCATAAAATATTTTTATTTTTATCATTTTCATTATTGTAAATATTAATAATTATAAGTAATAGGTACTTCCTCAAAATGTAAATATAAAATATTGTATATAAGATGTTTTATAATGACATTGTACATCATTAAATTATTATTTAACTATTTAAATCGGATTGGATGTATATTAGTTCATAAATTATTTGAAATATTAATTACTGTATAATTATATATTTTTTTTTTTATATCAAATTTGAGTGATTAAATTTAAATATTAAAAACATTATTTTTAAAATCTTTAAAATGAATGTTTACCATTTTTAATTTTCATCACTTTAACCTAATTACAAAATTTAAATAGATATTAGATCATATACTTATTTGTTCTTTATTTCTCATAATATTAACACATAACAATAATTATAATTTTATTATTATGAATCTAAAAAATATAGGTTACGGCAATTCTGTAAAAAAAAAAAATAAAAAATTATTAAACAATAAGGTAAGGTATAAATAAAATATTCAAACTTTTTATAAATAATTATTATATACTTATAATTATGAGGAGTTATTATGATCTAATATCTAGTAATAATTTACTGTATAAAAAAAAATTTCAATTGTTTATTTTGTTAGTATATTTTTATTATTACAATAATTGTATTAAAATATTTACTGGTACTATATTACATTGTTATCTCATATATGTGTGTGTATATACATATGTCTGTATAAAAATATTTGTAAATTTTTATTATAATGTAATTTTAATGGTTTATAAATGATATTAAGTTTAAGTATAGGAAAACTTTCTGCGCAAATTATTTTTATAAATACATATTATTCAATCTTTACATACATATTGATGATTATTTTTATTTCATTTGTTCTAACTTATTTAAAATCAATTTAAGGCAGGACCTACTCTACTAAGACTGAAGTTTGTAATCCTGCACATGTGTTTCTTCGTGGAGAGGTAGTTAGGATTCATCTTCTAAAAAATGAAACCATTGATAAAGATCTTATAAGTTATCTCAATAAAACATTTAAAAAAGAAAATGTATCGAGTATTTTTGAACTATTTAATTTTATTTGGTAAAATTAAATATTAAGTAAATTGACTTGGCAATTCAATTTTATATTTTTTTTTCAATTTTTCAATTCTTTGAATCCAAAATACTCAATCAATTGTGTTCAAGGGCAATTTAATACCATGAAAATTAATCTCCAGAAGATGCCACACTAATGTAAAACATGTATGACTGAGAAAATATAATAATGATTATTCTTTGAATTTCAGTTCGATTGGAATAGATCAAAGAATATTTATAATTCAATTTTATTATTCTAATCAAGTTTGAATACTCAAAATATCATTTAATTTACTTAAAAGTTAATATTCTTAATAAATCATTTAATGTATGACTATTTAGAAACAAATACCATTGACATAAATAAAAAATCAAGTCCTCTCTTATGTGTACAATCTTGAATTTGTTTAAAAATATGGTTAATATCTCCTATTCGTCAAACAAATAATGAGACTGTAAGAAATCTATAAAACAGAATTAAATTGATAAAAATTACAAAATTGAAATATAATATATACATTTTTTGTAAAAAACATATTTATATTTACAAGTGACATACTCAGAAACTACATTTGATGTATCTTCGATTAAATTTTGACGAATTGATGAATGATCCCATAACAAATACTCTGTACACCGCATATATTCAAATTCAATGACGATTTTTATTTAATAACTTGTCTAGGAGTTGACATTGCGAAGGTACTAAGTGTATTGAAAAAGATAACTTACTCATTTTTTTTTTTTTTATTAGTTTTTCTTTTTGAAATAAATTTCGATACATTAAACGATACTAAATAAGTAATTACAATGCCAATATAATCAATAGAATCCAATAATAATACTAACAATAAAAATTACACACTGAATATGACTAGCATATAATCATATATTTACATATATTTAAAATTAAGTTTATAAGAAAAATCTGCCAATAAAGGTACAGATGCTTTATTTTTTATGTAGAATATTTTTTAGATGTTAGTTAACTATATTATAGGTATTAGGAACTTCTATTACATTTAAATAAGTAAACTCACATGCTTAAGTAGTAATAAAATCAATAGCTTACCTTTCTGTACGGGTGGACCACCGATTTTTAAACAGTGGCGCCAAGCTCTAAAAAAAAGTACTATTGTCAAATTTATTTTCAGAAGGTACTGCCCACCAAAAATGTCACTTATCAGTGTAGTAATAAATAAATAATAGGTTATAATAGTTAGGTACATAGTAAAAGTATTCTGTTGTTAAAAATGTGATGGTTATTATTATACTATTATAATATTACTTTATACGTACTTTAATTATCTACGTTATATGAACAGCCTCAAAGTCCTAATGACTATTTGGGACTAAGCTCCTAGGACCACCCACCCCATTTAAGCAATTGTTTTAAAAACAATAGTTTTTAACTTAATATTTACTTACTGATGGTACGCTTCACTTTACCTTTTATAAATGTTTAGTAGCCATAGGTAAAAATTTAACTCCCGTGTTTTTCATCGAACGGACAAATGATAAGTTTTAATTATACATAAAGTACAAGTATTAGAAATATTTGAGATATAGAACATATTATATGTTTTGTATTTCATAAATATCACACATTTTTTTTTTATGATTAATATGTAAATCACATAGGTGGTTTGGTTTACTTGCTGGAAGTGGTAAATATTTATAATAATATTATCCTCAGGCCCAGATATTTATAGTTAAAATGGGCCCCATTAAGGTACCAAAAATTTAAAGAAATAAATAATTTTTTTTAAATTGTGTAGATATGTAACAGATGAAAAACATTTAAAAACATTATAATTATTACACAGAATATATTTAAAATGTCCATAAGTTATTTTTATATTTAACCAAAATAATTATTAAATACCTACTTCATACAAATAATTTATATATTATGAATAATACACATCATTAAGTACCTACTCTTATTTAAAATATTTATTTCTTAATCATAGGCTTGCGCAGATTCCTGTTTCCGATGTGGCTTTTATTTTTTATGATCATTCACCCCCTTAAAAAAAATAGATATACAAAACATAAGTAGGAATAAAATTTATTAGAAAAACTGATGTATAATTGATTATCAATGAACGCCAGTCCCGGCAATTTTAATTTTTTGTAATATGATAAAATTGATGAAAAAAAAATTTGATTTTCCCAAAAAAAAAAAAAGAATTAGTAGCTCTTTTTACCTAAGTACTTAGTACCTACCTAAAAAATTCTCAGGTGTGGCTGTAGCCTTTAAGCCACACCTGTGCGCACGCCTAAGTTCTTAATTTATCACGAGCAAAAGTCAATATAGTTTCATTAAAATCAATCGATGGTAACAAATCATGTTCAGACGATAATATTTTAAATGATTTTAAGGATTCTTGAGTCTGATTAGTTCAATACTTATTTTTTATGCGTGCTAACTTTGAAAATGCCCGTTCAGCAGAACAATTTGGAATTGTTACACTTCAAGAAAAACAATTCCTCTTCTCCGCTGAGTGAGAAGTTCCTGGGCAGACTAATCTCGTTGCGTGGCTAAAGCTACCCACCTCGATCTTGCGACTTGATGCCGTGTGATTTTTTCTTATAGGGATACATTTAGTCACAAGTTTACCAGAAAGAGTTCGAAATGTCTTGGAACTTAAGCAAGAAATTCGTCGTGTCCTCAACGAACTTGATGGGGTAATGTGTTATCCAGTGATGGTAAATTTTATGGAAATAATCAGGGTTTATTCTAACAGGCAGTATGAATTGGGGTAGTAGGAAAAATCAAAAGGGCAAATTGACTTTATGAATATAGGTATTTTACAAAAATATAATTTTTCTTATAGAATGATTGAATTTCTACTAAATATTTGAAACTTGTGTAATTTATAAACCCAACCTAGTACTTAATAAGAAATAATTATGTAAGTTTACTTTGCTACTTCGATGATTGATTAATCTATGAAATTTAAATAGTGGTATATATTTAACAGAAAATATCCGTATTTTTTTAATGTTTTACTACGCGATGGTAAAAATTCTAAAATATCAATATACAATTTATTTGGGAAGGGCGTAAATATTATAATCCAAATATATTTCATAAAACAAACTTTTCAGTGTGTTTGGGCAGTAGGTAAAAATTCTTAGAATAAGTCCTGGAAAGAATAATCGTCTGTATGGGTAGTAGGAAGAGTCATATACCCAATATTGTTTTTTACTGTTAAACCTTAACTTTTCCTGAAGAGAATGATATTTTAAATTTATTTCTCAAACTAGGTAATAGTAGCATAATTTTTTTTTTCTGAATATTTGCAGCTTTCACATTTATGAAAAAAATCTATCTTCTCAAAACCTAAAAATATAATGAAATATAATTAAAAATCTTTCATTAAACAATATACCTTAATAAAAAGTGTAATTAAGATACTATATATACATAACAATTGAATCATTTGGCCGAACAACGGGACAAGTGCCAGTCTTGGCATTATTGCGTTTATCGGTGGAATATCGGGGTACGGGTACAATTTATTGTATATGTTCACTATCGCATTGAAATTACAATAAAAATAGATTAAAAGGCAATATTAAGTTTAATTTTAAGTCGTGGAAATGGTTTGTAATATTTTAAATGCCTCCACTGTAAAATGTGCTCAGTGGCACTTGTTCCATTGTTCAACCGAGCGCTTCAATCATTAATTATAATATTTATTAATAATAAAAATAATAAATAAATTATGCTTTTAACAAAAATTATTCTTTATAGATTTTATTTTAAATGTCAAAATTAAAGTATTAAAATATGGTCTTGTATTAATTATATCTAACACAGAAACAGATTAAAGTAAACCTGATAAGTATTCTATCAAATACTTAAATACCTTAATCAATTAATTTTTGGTTCAACTTTTGTTGGTATTTAGTTCAAAAATAATTAATCAATTCTTATATTAGTGTAAGAATTCGTATTTAATTCATAGACATTTATATATCTATCCTTAAGTTTAATTTTCCTTTAAAATAGAAAAAATAAGAAATTGTTGTATATAATATTTATAATAACAGACTAAAATTAAATAAGTTGGAAAATATTTATCAGTTGATTTAAAAAATTATATATGGTTAATTATTTACACTCAAAATCAAAATTTTAATACTCAAAGTAATACATCAAGTAATAAAAAATACAAAAATAATAATTAGGATAAAATGTTAATAAAAAATAATTAAAATACATCAAATTTTAAATAGGCATTTATGTTTCAACCAATAATTTCATTTACAACATCAGACAAATTTAAGTTATTGCCATCACACTCAAAGTCAGACAATGTTAAACTATCTTCTTGACATTTTTTCTCATTTAAAAATGTATTCAAAGAGCCTTTGGTTATTAATTCATCTCTTAGAACATTATTTGTCTTAGATTTGATAAGTTTTTTGGAAATTTTCATAGAAGATAATTTATTAGTCAAATCCATTAGATTATTGTTATATGTTGTCCCTACAAAAAAAAAAAAAAAATCTCTCAAATGATTTGTATTTAAAAATTAATCAATTGTTGAACAATATAAATTACTTTTCTGTGTTTTGTTTGAAAATCTTTCTTCATAAATTGAAACTTTTATTGGATATCTTAATAGGACAGCTGTTTGAGGTTCAGTTGTTGTTGTTTCATAATTATTCCATTTTATTTCATAACATTTTATTCCTTTATTGACTCGTTTTTTGACAATTTCATTCATTAAAACATTAGCTTGGAAATTATTATCATACATTAAATGCCATCTAGTAAGCAATGGTAAAAATTTTTCAATAGCATATTCTTTTTCCCAACACAATTTATCTGAAGAAAATTTCTAAAAATATGTAAATTATTTACTTATTCATATATTAATATAATAAATAAAGTAGTTGCTGTTTATTGCATGCACATTCAATACAGTCAATAGACTCATTCGCCTATTAGATTACCATATTAACTATTTTTAGAATTATACCTACAATAAAAGCATTTATATCTGGTTGCGTCCACTTAGAAGATACTTCTGGATACTTAGGTACTTTAAGAAATTCATCAATAATTGCTTCCGAAGGAAAATTTTTATTTTGTAAAGCTTTTTTTCTAATTTTTAATTCTAATTTAATTTCATTTGTCTGTGATTTAATATCTTTCTCTGCAGCATTTAAGATCAAATTGCTCCTCCAATTTCTCATACTAAAATCAAATTATAAAAGTATTTATTATATTCAAATATGAAGAAAGGCTTATAATAAATAAATAAATACCGATCAAGGACAACACTATCATCTAGTGTCTGAAGAAAATTTATGGCTGTTTCTTTACCAATACCAATTACACCTTTTTCATCATAATCACAACCACATAGCAATGATAGAGCTATCATTTTGTTTCGTCCAATTTTTAATTTTTTTTCAATAGATTCAAAGCGATAAACTTCAATAGAACCATTTCCAGATGCATTAAAGTTTCTGTAGATAACACGAGCACCATAAAGAAAACAATCACTATCTTGAGTTATGATTCCATCAACAATCTGAAATTTAATGTATTATTTTTAAATATATTTTATAACATACAATTAAAAAAAAAATGTATAAAAGAAATTTAATCTAACTTAAAATGGTGTTGCAACCTAATTAAATAACAAAAAAAAACTATATACATATTTATAGTAAGGTAATTTAAGTAGATACCATAGGAGATTTCCTTCTTTCCGTGTTAAAAAAAAATTCAAATTAAAAAGTTAAATATCATCAATTTTATTTATTATACCTATCAGTGAAGATTATATAAATCATATGTAAAGAAAAAAATAAACTTAATATTTAATTTATTTATAATTTCAATAATAACTGAATACAATAATTAATTAGTGACACAATTATAATATAAATCAGTGGTTCTTAACGGTGGCGATACTACCCCCTTGGAGGAATTTTGGTCTCTCCGGGCGGGGGGCGATAATTTTGAAAGGGGCACTGAGGGGGCAGTGAGCTTTTTCAAACTCAGAGATTAAAAATAAAAATAATAAATCATTGAGGAAGTATTGTTTGATACAAGTTTGATCACTGATACCAAAAAGGGTCGTCGATTTTTCAAACGGTGGAGGAATATTTTACCAGAAAAAATGTCCCCTCGACAAATATTATTGCATGCGCAATGGATGGCACTCCCTCAATGACCGGTCGCCATGATGAGTACATAGCCCATCTAAAAAAAGCCGTCTCAGGTATTATTTGTGTTTATTGTGTAATACATAGCCTACATTTAGCTGCAAAAAACTTAAGCGGTGTCTTGCACAAAACCCTTTAATTAGTCATAAAAGCTGTAAACAAAATTAAAACAAATTTACTCAATGACAGCATATTTCGAGAACTTTTTCATGATAATTATGAAGATTTTGAAAAATTACTTTTGCATACGGCAGTAAGGTGGCTTTCCAAAGGAAAACTTTTGTGTTGTTTTTTCGCATTATTTTACTCTATCATTGAATTTCTCAATAAAATTGATCCTGTCTTAGAGGACAATTAGAAGTAACGAAAAATTGAAATTGAGTAGGTACCTCACAGATATTTTTGAAAAAAATTATGAAATCGATTTGAAGCTTCAAGGGAATAAGATGAACTTTATCAAGGCCAAAGGATTAATTTCCTTATTCATTTTTAAGTTCGATCTTTACAAAACAAACATAAATCGTCAAGAACTGAGTTAGTTTCCGAATCTCAAGTCATGTTCAGACGCAAATGGTTTAGTTCCAGAAAAAAAAATTCTAATTTTCACTGATCATATTTTACAGCTCAAAAAAGACATGAAAACAAGATTTCAAGACCTACTTGAGTTACAAATCTCTAATTGGATTTTAGATCGATTTTCGTTTGAATCTGTAAAAGATCTCGAACCTTATTTACAAATGGAGTTTATCGATCTTAAATACGGCTGTGAGACATAACTTGTTTTTAAACTGGTCGGTTACGAGCTAGTCTAGATCAAGCTTAAAGACACTTATCAACAACTATGGAAACAAGTTAAATTGTTGCTTCTTTCTTTCCCGTCAACGTATCTAGTTGAAAAAGGATTCAGTGTTGTTGTTCAAATTTTGACTAAGCAAAGAAATCGGTTGGACATTTGTAACAAAGGTGATCTGCGTTTAGCTTTGACCAATATTGAACCAGACATCGCCACATTAGCAACTACTCACCAAGCTCAGGACAATCATTGATAGGCGTAATTTTTATATTTTATAATTTTTTTTTTCATTGTTAAGTAAAATTTTTTTGTAAATTATTTTGTTGTGTGGAATAAAATATAACCATTACTATTTTCTTAAAGTAAGAGTTTTTATTTTAATTTAGTATACTGATGAATAAATAGGAAGAATAGGGAGAAAATTTAATTTTAAATAAAGGGAGCCTTAGCAGAAAGTTATTATGATAAAGGGGTGCTGAACTAAAAATTTTAAAAACCTCTGGTATAAACTCATATGTTTATATTATACAAACTGCTAATGGTTTGTATCGATTTGATGCTGTAATGGAGACATATGAACAGTGATATACCATGTAAATTTATGTATTTGTTCTGAACATACAGTTTAGGATATTGACATTGAATACCAAAGTATTAAATTTAAAATCTTAAAATTAGCTATTTATTTACTAAATTGTACTTGCCCCATTTTTATTGAGTATAGCACATAGCTGTTCTGCTTCTCCAGAACTGTAAACACAAGTTACTCCCATAATATTTAATAATAATTCACACTGAAAATAATTCATTAAAGTAATACATTAAAAAAAACATATAATTATTTATTCAATTTTATATTTCTAAAAAAACATAAAATTATTAATAAACGAAAAAAAAATTATAACACTAAACTAATCTTATCTTTATAATATTTATATATACTCAGATTAAATTTTTAATTAATATGTTTACTTGACCCAGGTTAAGAAGCAGCAAATAATGTCAATATTCAAAGTTATTTCTTATTAGAAAACCCACTATAATTTTTGCATGAATAAGAAAATAAACTAAATGGTTAGTAATTTTTATACCATTACATTTTAGAATATATAAATCTACATTTTAGGATTATTTCCATTAAAAAGACTATATATAAGTATATACTATAGTATACAGAAAAAATTAAGAATGTACACAATATCAAATGTTACAAATTTTACGTATGTGATTAAAAGTCCAGTATAATTTTTTAAGGGCATTAGGAAAATACATTTTTAAATAATTGTCTCTTAGTAATAACATATTATAATATTATAAATTTATGACTTTATACAAATTTGGTTTCAAATATATAAAAGAACTATAATTTAAAGAAAAGATGTTGGTAAATATAGATTTATAATTTCTAACTCATCATTATTAACAGCTTAACGGTTCATTAAGAACCTGTGCTGCATTTTCTAACTCAAGCATACAATATACATAGAACATTTTTTTTATGTTATGAGTGTTAAGATGATATATTATGAAATTTATACTTACTTGTTTTTGTAATGAATTTAGGCGTCTGCGAACAATAACATTATTTTTTGTCAGAGCTTTATTATTATTATTTAAACGCTTTTCTATTATATCTTGTTTCAATAATGGTGCTTCTCCTTCCAAAATAAATATTGGTATAGTACCAAGCAATAATAAACTACTAGTACGAAAAAATAAGTTCCTGGCAAAAAAAAATTTTAATATGTTATTAATTAATTAATCAAGCATAAATAAATTCTTAAGTATTAATATCATGGTATCTATAGAAAATTATAGAAAAATTTTATTCTGTTTTCCAATTGTAAAAAAATATTAGTTTATTAGTTGTCTACTAAATGTACTTAACATATGTCAACATTTAGATAGTAGCCTCTGAATGCTGAATCAATATAATAGACAAGAGCAATATAAATATAACATTTGATTATTATGTACTTAAATAATACAAATTAATATAACAGTAGATATTATTAAGAAATATACAAATATTTAAAAATGTATATAAGTTATTTATTGCAAGTGAATATATTTATTCAAAATTGTTTACCTCAAATACATATTTTTTTGGCTTATGTTCGAATTAAAATTTTCACTATCACAGACCCAGCCACTTAAGTCTATTGCTACGATTTTGTTTTGCAACTCCCAAAGTGGTACTTTTTCAGCAACTGGTGACAAGAGTGGCCACAGATTTTTAACACCCATTTTCAAAGAATTAGAAAACTGTATAATATGGCAAATATGCACTGATAAAAATATCCCAAATTACACTATTAAATACTTGAATAGTTTATATAAATCAACATGTTAAACTTTAAAAACAACTAAAACATTTAAACATTATTTAATATAAATTTAATATCCTCTCAAACAATTTAAATATAACGGTTTTCAACATAAATTTGATTATAGTGACTAATATATATATATATACTAATACTAATATATAGCGAAATGTGATATGTGAATGTTTAAATAATTTATCTGTTCTATTGATAAGCAAAATCTTATCAAAATAATTTTTGGGCGGTTTCTATTTTCTCGTTTAAATGTTATTGTCAAAGAATACTTCTATAAATTATTACTGAAAATCCAATAAAATTGTTTATTTTATAATAACATTTAGACTATGAGGAAGGTAAAAAATGTATCGGTTTTACTATAATTACCATTGTGTATTTTTTTTAATTCTTGATATTCACACGATTTTGATCTGAAGGATTGCTCTGGTGATCAATATGTTATTTCAGTATGATAGTTAATAAAGAAGGAAGTTATTTTTTGAGTTTCTAAATTGTTTTCCAAATAATTGACAAAATCTAACGAAAAATTACAAATGACCAAATATACGGGACATTGGTTTTTGACAAATTAGGATTTTTCTTTGTTGTCACTCAAAAAAAAAAAAAACGTATAACTTAACATTTTAAGGAGAATGGTAGTATTATCGAATTATACTCGTTGAAGTGGTATCATTTTCAAAAGATTTTGTCTTTTTTACACAAGATATTTGACGTTTTCGTTTTTTTTAACTTCTTTTATTAAAATGTCATTGTTGATTTATTTTATAAAAATAAAAATATTAATTCAACAAAAAATATAATGTAAAATTAATTTTATGATTTTCCTATTTATTCGTATCGAGTGCTTAGATAGAACGCTTTCACGTCCGAGTAACCTTTAAGATGACTGAAGCTCTATTAATATTGAGCTTTCGTTCTTGTAGTCTTTCCATCTCGCGACAAACAATGAGCCCTCACCCTCATAGACTCTCGCCACTAGAAAACTCAAGACTACTTGACTCGAAATGTAAGGCCTTAAATCCGCATTGTCCAACTCAATATTGAAGGAATAAGCAGAACAAAATTAGATTATCTTATTGAACTATTTTCTATATATAATTTATATTACTTGAAAAAATGCATGCCTCGAACGAAGATCAATTAAGAGCAGTAGGACATATACTAGGTTTCATACTATCTGCTGTAACTTTCGATCTCAGATTATTTTCTTATTTGTGTACATCATATAAGTTGTTTTAGTTGAAATTTATTAATTTTCGATATTAATCCTTAAAGCTTTAAAATTTAATTTTTCTCAAATGGTTATTTGTGATCATTAAAAAATGTAAAGCAGAAAGTCGCAAACATAATGTCAAAGGATATTTGATTTTTTGTGGATGATATATTAAAAAGTATGGGTGAAAAATACTATATTATCAAATATTGTGTTATAGAAAACCAAATTTTTTCAGCTAATTACATTATTTACAGAGTAGGTCACCTAACAATATATGCATATACCTCATTTTTATGTAATTTAAAATTTTATTATAAATACCATAATACTTAAAAATGTGTATGACTTAAATTAATCCAACTATTACTCATAAATATATAAATAGAGATCAAGATAACAATAAAATAGATTATAAAATAGTATTGATTCTTCTCCGTTTTATACACTGTAAAATAGTTATGAATAGAGCGCGGATTTCTATGCAATCGCATATTTTTTTCCTTTCAATATATTTGGATTTTTGTCAGTTACCTCCACGAATCATCATAATTTGAAGCTAATGGTGAAATTTTTTTTTTCATATTTCTGCATATATAGAGGTTATTGCATATTTTGTATATTTTGGCAAAATTCAAAATTTATTGTATATTGAAGTGAAAATTTAAAAAAAATGTATAAAATAATATTTTGTCTAGTAGAAAAATTAAAAATAAATTTCATAGTCACTAAATAATAATTTATATATATATTTAGTTATAAAATAAATAATCGATAACGACGTAAACTTAATCGCTCTTGATGTGTTAGTCGATTATCGACATACCACTTGCTTCAAATATGCCCAATAACTTCGGTTGACATCGAAGGTTCGTTTTCAGTCTTTAAAAATATGTTAACCGATAAACGACATAGCTTCACGGAAGATAAACTTGAAATGCATATGATTATTTATTTTAATAATAAATAAAATTTTAAAAATAAATTAAGTTCAGAAAATTCCCTAATTTTTTTTGTATTAAGTATTTAAGTAATTAATTTTTATAAGTTGAATTATAAATTTTAAATAAATAAAATATTCTTGCATATTTTTTGCATGTTTTCATAATTTTGACTGCATATTTTTTACATATTTTCATGATTTTGACTGCATATTTTTTTGCATATTTTCATGATTTTTACTGCATATTATATGGCATATTTCGATACTTTTAAGTGCATACAAATCCGCGCTCTAGTTATGAATAAAGTAAACGGTAGTATGATTGAAATACCAATAATTTGTATTCTTAAGAAAATATAATAATGTAGTATGTTATTACTACTTTTGATATCAATGTTATTATAATTTGTGTACTTAGATTATTGTTCATAAGCCATTCAGTCGCATTCCAGGGTCAATGCGACTATAATATATCATCGAAAATGTAAATGTACTAATTTGTTTTTAATGACACATTTAATTAGTCTTTTTTTTTTTTGTACTTTCTTTAATAATAACATTTAAAAATATTAATTTATTTATAATTAATTTCCTATGAATAAGAATGGTTAGCAATGGATATTCAGAGACAATACCTAAAATTCTTGTTGACGCTGTTATCCATGTTATCCAAACAACAATAAATTAAATATTGTAGTCTACACTATAGAAAATGTTTGACTATTATTTATGTATATATGGTATACTTATAGTTTGTGGAATGTAGATTTAGAATAGATAGTATAAAATGTATAATACATTATAACAATAAGAACATACTTATAAAGCAATATAATGTACAAATCTTAAGATCGGGATTGACATTCCAAAGCTATCAAGGGGAGTGGTATCCATCCTATAGAGGTAAGTATAAGGTTAGGTTAATAAGTATTAGGTAATGTTAAAAAAAACTTATTTTAAATTGTATAACACTTTTGGCTTTTATCAAAAATGTATTTAAAGTATAATTATAACCTATTATAACATTAGTGCTGGAGTTTTAATGTTATTTAATGTTTAGTATTTAATGGTAGCGATATCATCCCATTAATTTATAATACCTAAACACTCCAAAAACTATAAACACTATTTTAGTTATATTCATTGACGATATAACAAAGATCCCCTTGCAATTCAAAAAATTTTTCAGCATCTTGACTTAATCTCCATGTGGAATAAGAAAAAATATTTAACTAAACGAAAAAGAAATCAATCCAAGTAAGCTTCTAAGCAAAATGTAAACTAAACAAAAAATAATATCCTTAATTAATTCTAACATAACTCTTTACTAAAATAAAATGCAATAAAGTACCTTAGAGTAACTATTGATTGAAGACTTTCATGAAAAAATCAAAAAAAAAAATTAAAGGAAACAATGGAACTTATGCCTTCATCTTCTTAGCCCAATTTTAAGTTCAATCTAACCTGTTTCTGTAATATGTATGATAATTATGTTAAAATTAATTTGTAAACATTGAATTTTGGATCTGAATATTTTGGACAACAAGAATTGCGGATGTCGGTGGAACAGCTCCGTCATAGTAATGTAATGTATTTTAATTTTAATTTGGTACTTGTTAATGCACGACTGTCAGTTTTATAAAAACCTAGCGTTGTTTTAAGTAAATATAATTTATACTTAAAACCTAATCTTATTTTTATATCTGTTTATTAAGTCTGTAGAGAATAATAAAATTAACATAATACACGAAATAAAAATAAAATGTGAATACATGTTAGAAGTATCACATTCCGTATGCTACCTTTATTTGGTCACCAAATAATACTCACAATTCTCAAATTTCTGAATCGATTCAAAACTTATTTATAAATATAATAATAATATGAATATTTATTTATAAATACTATCAGTATATGTATATTAAGTATCTTAAGAATATATTTATAATACGAAATTGTAAAAACTACTTAAATATGATGTTTTCGCACAAATGAATAAACAAATTTTCGAATTTATAATGTAGGAATACAAAAAACGAAGAAATATTTTTGAATTAGAACGTTACTACTAATTATAAGTTATTATCATTATTAAATTCGTTTATTATCTTAGACAATTCTATTATTCTAAAATCTATTCTTTTGTGGTACTGATGATAAAAAACCCACTTAATGTATAAATAATTTATAAATTATATTTGTATAACTACCACTTGTTTCTATGCTGTTTAACTAATATATGTACTAAAATATGTACTCGTAACTATACTTAAAATTATACTTAGATTTAAAATGTTATTTATATTATACAAATGTTTCAATTGATTATTAATTACGGTCGTCAACTAATAATAATAATAGTTTTATTTAAAACTAACTGATCTTGCATGGCGTTGTCCGTGACGAATTCAACCTCCCCTGAAACTCCATTAAATGTTAACAATAAGTTCAATATATATTTTTAATGCAGTTATTTGGGTTGTTTTGATCAAATATAAAACATAATAATGTAAACGTAACTAGGGTTGCCATACGTCCCGGAAAACCGGGATTGTCACCGTTTTTGGACTTCGCGTCCCGGTGTCCCGAAAAATGTTTTCGGAACGTCCATATGTCCCGGCTTGGACGTTTAGAAGAAATTGTAGTATTGTTTAATTTTTCATTTCGACCATTTTATCTCAAAGTACATTTTTAATCGTAATCGATTAACAATATATAATAAAAATACAATTTGTAATTTACACATATAAATATATAATATATTTTATTTCATAAAAATATTTTTAAATATTATATTGCAGGCCAATAATGATCCTCTTCAGTGGCGTATACATAACTTTTGTATGGGGAAGGGATTATTTGCAAGCAAATCATTATTTATTTTTACGCTTCTAACGAC